GAATTCTGCGAGGCAGTGGGCCTGATAACCGTTGACCTGCTGCTTCGCTTCGACCAGCCTGAGCTGAAACCTTTACAGATGCTCAAATACATCCCCATCAAAGATCAGGCTAAAAGAGCAGACGGACTTCGAGAGAGCCGCTGGGCACTCATGGGTCTCCGGAGCTGCTGGCTGCTGAGCGGAGACCTGCCGCACTCGATGTTGACCCAGAGCTGCTCTCGGTGCAGCCGAAAGTGCTTCGCAGCGCCGGTCTCATGACGCCAGACATGAAGACTGTGGCCGAGCTGTGCCTAATGCTCGAGTCAAAGAGGCAGGTCGTCAGAGGGATGCTGAGTGAAGTGGTGCGTCTGTGTCGCCTCATAATGGCCGTGCCTGTGCCGGCAGCCCCAGCAGAGCGTTCATTCCCCGCCCTGAGGCCAGGGAAAACGTACCTACGTGAGACAATGCATCAGAAGCGGCTGTCGCACCTGACGATGCTCCATGTTCATCAGGCATGCGCCCTTACGCTTCAGAGTGATTAGATTTTGCGTGAGTTCGTCCTCAGGCACCCCGATAAGCCAATTTCGGTGTTCGGGCGGCAGCAGTGAGGCAAGATCACCGACGTCACAGCGTAACGCTGTCTCCTCGGGGTTTCCCCATCTCCGACCGGCGGCGAAACTTGTTCGTGGTTGTTGCTTGGCATTTGCAGATGCACTTACTCGGGAGTTGAGTCTTTAAATTGTCCTGGCGACGTATGTGAACTGCTTCTCAACGTGCATTGTAAACGCCAGAGAGCGATAACGTAAACTGATGTAACCATATCGCCATGCGCCAACTGAGAAGAGTCGATGGACGCTCTCGACATAAGTGGACGTGTTTTAATCGGGCCTTGTAGCCCTGACGATTGGTAAGCACTCCCAAGCTACTATATCGAGTGTTTTGTTTTCAATTTCCTTCTCGACACTTATGAGATGTTCTGAGAGAAAAGCGCCGTTAATGCAGCAGTGGGAATGTTAGATCCAAAGGCATTCAACTGCGATAATTAGCTCGTCGAGCCTCTGCAAATCTTTTACCTCCATACCGCAATGGCCTTCTCCGTGCCCCAGGGGAAAGATGGCTCATTTGGATCCGGTGGCGCTGGGTTCAAGTCCCGAATTTTTTCCTAAGGGTCTTCCGGCTGGTGATCATAGAGGCAAGCGGGTACGGGGTAGTTGTCTCGTAGCCTACCACGGCACGAAAAACACCCCTCCGATTGACCTCGCGTGAATAAATGACCGCAGGCAAAATCATCCGTTTCACTGTAAGTACACTATTGCGTTGCCGGTTCAGAGTATAAGGAGCAAGCTGTGGTTCGCGTATGGGTAGTCTGAGGTAAAAGCCACCGATGCAACCCATTCGGGTATTCTTTATTCAACGATAGAACATACAAAATGCGACTGAATTGGATAGATTCCTGAGGCCCGAGCATACGCTAGGCAATGCTTTGCTGTGTGAAACCTGACCGACCGACCATCCGGATGTAGAATTTCAGCCAGGCGGCAGAACTTTGTGGCAGAAGCTCAAGGTGTCGTAATGTTCGGATCGGTCCCCCCACTGATCTTGGGTAGCCGCTGACCCCGGCCGCAGACCTTCTCAGAAAGGGGGAGAATAGCAAGCGCCGAAGCGACTCGACCCTTTAATCTATTCACCCTGGCGCAGACGAGTTGAGGCAGGCATTACAACTCATTGATCTACCATGACGGTCAGCCGCTGATCTTACGACCGACAAGAAAGCATCACTGAAATATGGCGGCATATCGGTTTGGAGGCCCTTCATTAAGTCTTTGCCCCCATCCTAAATTCGGATACACCGCCCCTGTCTGAATGTTTCTTCTTTTTTAACTAGAATGCGAATAGGGGAAAAACATGATCATGAAGAATTGTGGGTATACATAACACCGTTCTCCATACATGAAAACCCTCAGGGGAGTTAGTGTTCACCCCACTTGCCACCTGCTATATATCGTTCGATAAAGCACAGTGTCTTGTTTCCGTTGCAGCCCAACACCAGTCAGCCCAAAATGTCAAATCATCTGCTAATTGTCCATTAATTTTTTCTGCCAGGGCGTCTCGCCCCGATAACTGCTTTCGACCGATCCCGCAGCTGCCCTCCCGACGCGGCCTGTGCGTTCAGACGCCTTGCTCGGTCTGCTGACCCGCAGCTGCCCTTCCGGCGCGGCCTGTGCGCTCAGACGTCTCGCCCGACCTGCTGACCCGCAGCTGCCCTTCCGGCGCGGCCTGTGCGCTCAGACGTCTCGCCCGACCTGCTGACCCACAGCTGCCCTTCCGGCGCGGCCTGTGCGCTCAGACGCCTTGCCCGACCTGCTGACCTATCGCTGACTTTCCGCATTACGTATTACGTGACCCGGCTGCTACGAAAAGTAGTACGAAATTGCAAGGGATGAAGAGGGGAAACCAATAAGAATGGCAGGACGCAACAATGTATACACGCGGTATTATTCAAATATAAGCGCCTCCTTACATCGTACTATGGTTTTGAGTTCTCCCGATGGCGTATTCTATAGTGGCTCTTTTCGAGGCGCACTTGGGCTTTGGGGATGGGAGTATCACATGGGTCACGTGACGTACTGGTTAAAGCTTCAACCAACAAACTTCTCGGTAACAGGCCCTTGCCCACTGGACCGATCACAAGCGTTTTTCTTCTCATTTATTTGCACCAGTCGGGGTGCGCACAGTCACGTTCAAGGAATTGCAAGGAGTGAAGAGGGAGATGCATTAAAAACGATAAAAAGACAAAACAATATATACACTCGCTAGTAGTCAAATGTAAGCTCTGCCTTACAATATACTATGACTTTGATTTCTTCCCAATGGCGTAAACCACAGTGACCCTCTTCGATGCGCACTTCGGGTTTGGGAATGGGAGTATCACGTGACCCATTTGGTCCACTGGTTCAAGCTTCAACCAACCAACTTCCCGGCAGCAGGCCCTTGCCCGCTGGGCCAATCACAACCATGATTTATTCGTTCCATTGAGGTGCGCACGGTCACACTCATGGCGACGGTGGTCGCGACTGCAGGGAGGAAGCGTAGTGGCACTGGGTGGCGCTGTTACAAAATGTGGACAGCGTAATTTTTACTCAACATAACTAGGATCGATATCTTTGTCATGTCTTGCCGGTGCTGCAGTAACATTACCCGGCGCTATTATAAGATGTAACTGGTCGTGAGGTTTCACCAGAGTATGCCTTTTGAAATATGCCCCAAAAGTGGAACACCTTTCAGCTACCGGTACCTAGGAGTTCTGGGCATCAACTGATATCTATCTGTGGTCTCCATGTTCAAATTAGCGATGCATGAAATGCTCGTGCTCTCAGTTCCGATTGTCCTCGATCGGCATGTCACCGATTTTCGCATTACAGACTGGTCCTGTATTTATCACTGCAAACGTCATATATTACACACATTTCACATAATTAACATTGAGCGAAGAACAGCGAAGGTTAACAGTTTATACATACCAAGCAAAGACTATAAAGAAGTCAAACATCTTGGCCTTCCTCGAAAACCGTTCCAAGCCAACACAAACATAATTCGTTTCAAGCGACTCCCACGCGTTTCGCTGCTACGCCAGTCACTTTCCTCACACCAGCCTGAGGGAGCTTTTTGGCGTTTATCTTTGTTTCAAATGACATCATTGCGCGATGGCACGCACGTCCAAGCAATGCTTTCACAATAATTCGATAATATCACCACACAAAGCTAGATGATCCAGAAGGTTGCTAACCCCAGCCTAAACAGATAGCACAGTGAGTGCGACATGTCGCAACAGGCACAGATTAACTTTTTTTCTTATAGGCGCACTAACGAGATCAATCCAGATTGACACCACTGCCGACAGCTTTCGTCATTTTCAGTGTATCGTGTAAGTTGCACGATAGTTTGCGAGTATCGTGCAGCTTTGCCTTACCCTGAAAACTGCAGTAAAAACCGAACTTTGGCTCGTGCAATTGCATATCACGTCCATGATGCCGTGGATCAGGGGTGAATAATCGTAATGAGCTGTAAGGTCCCGACCGTTAACTTGCAACTCAGCCCTCTTAACCTGACAGAGAACGCTCTCGTACCCAGACACCATGCTCTAAGAAAGTCCGGGCTATACAAGTACAAATAGCATTACTGTCCTCGCCAGCGCAGCACGGAGGGTCCTGACTGGTTTTACAAAATACCAGCCCGGTCGTGGAATAGCACGATAGCCCCCAAATTTACACGGACGTCACCAACATCGCTTTGCAAAGATGTCTGGGGATTGGTTTGTAACGTGCTTGGAGGGAAAAGGCGTACAAGAGCAGGTATAATGCAATTGATTGTGTATCCCTAGATGTGTAATCTAAGAAGGTACCACCAAGCATTGACATATTTTTGTTCTCAAAAGCGATAACGTCGCATAAAACATCAGCTTCAACTGGAAAATTGCGTGCCACAAGTTTCGCTCATGTACCCAACGTCCTTGACAAGCAGCCGTGCAGAGAAAAAAATACCGACAATGCTGCCGCTGCATGTCAGCCTCGTCGACCAGCCTCGATGAAACCCGCAGATCATCAAATGAACACCGCCTCGACCCAGGCAGCTATCCAGCAAAAGCCCCACAGCCTGTCACGCTGCCGTTACGCCATTCAACAGCCAGGAGTATTCAGGGGCACAGCGCGCCGCCGCGGGCGCCGGGATGCGGCGGCTCGCCGGTCTCTCCAGCCGGCTGGGCCCCGGGGCGTTGTCGCGGGTGACCAGTCGGCCGGCGGACGGCGCACCCTCTCCCCCAGGCCCATGTCACGTGACCGGAGTCTGGGCAGACGGTGGCCGCGGGCCGGCGTCACGTGACTAGCCGGCCGGTGAAGTCCGTCCCGGGGTCCTGCCACGTGACCGGCCCGCCGGCTGGCGGCGGCCCCGGGGAGGGGTGTCATGTGACCGGCGGGCCGCAGCGCCGGGCGCCGGGAGATGGGCTCAGTCATCTTGCTCCGGGGGGCGATGGTGGTCCGTAGGGCGCTGGTTGGTCCAGTGGGCGGTCCGGCGGGCTGGGACCGTCGCTGATTGGCTAGTCAGCTCGCAGCCGCGGGTTGTGGCGGATGAGACGCGGCTGCAGGAAGTTGGCCTGCCCTGCCTCCGATTCCAGCATGTACTGCAGCGATAGCGACAGCATGTCGCTAGTGTTTTCCAACACCAGGCAGTTCCTGAAATACCACACGGATTAGTCAGCCAACCTCGAAGAAGAAGGGGAGGACAAGGGAGGGTTGCAACAGTAATTGACGTCTCGGGCCTTTCGGTGTGGGTGAGTCATTCAGTAGTTTCGTATCGGTCTCAAACTACGTTTTGCACGGGGACATACCCCGCCAGCGGCGCAGGAACAGAGGTAGTCTGGTTCGTGGAAAGCGGTCCTAAAGCATTTGGCACCGCATGGTGAAAACCTCATGAAAATATGTCATGAAAAAATAAAAAAGTCCCTTATGGTCTTAGCATAGTATATATAATCCCCAGTGTCTCGCCGTTGTTAAAGGAAGCATGCAACCACTTTTGTTATTTTCACTTTTTGTTACATCAGATGCGTCCGACCTGGCCGGTGATACCAGGTTTCTCCAAATTTGTATGAAAAGCTCAGAATTTCGTTTCGAAGTAGACACCCCTGCAGGAGAAATCTCAGTGAACAGCGCGCTGAACGCCAGGAAAGTAATGCATACAATTTGCCTTGCTTTTCCGGAGTGAGTGTTCTAATGTTTGCAACACACTATTTGGTCGAAATGCTAGTGTAATAAGTTTTGCGAAGCTGGAAACATTCTTTTGAGAAAAAATATACGTAAGCATGACGATTTTATCCTGTGAATTCAAGGATACATTATGCTATAACTTCGATTGGCGTTGGCAAAGTGGCTATGGCGCTGGCAAAGTGGCTTTTTCGAAGCATGCTTCGGCTTGGAGAAACGGAGCATCACATGGCTTATGGTCACACACTGGTTCAAACCTCAACCAATGCGTCTCTCGGTAACTGGACTTTGCCGCTGACCGTGCCAATCACAAACGTTCAATTGTACTGACGTCATTCATACCAGTAAAGGTGCGACTTTTAAGCCCACATGTCCGCAATGTGCAGGTAAGAACAGCTGAAAAGTAATACTTCTAAACACAGCTGACACCGTCTCTCAGCAGATGCGCTGTCGTCATGACAACGGCGGTTGTCATCACGTCGACGTCCGAGACAACTGCAGTTGTCACGGACTCTGGAGACGCTCTGGAGCTTCCAAGGCAGGAAGAAGTGCAGGACTGTTACAAAGAGTTGGCAGCGTAATTTGGACTCGACAATAATCAAGATGTTTGCTTATGTTAAATTGGTGGTACTGCAGTGGCACCACTCAGTGCTATAACCAGACGTAAATAGTCCGGAAGCTTCATCAGAGTATGTTTTTAAAGTACGTCCCAAAGGCTAGACACTCCTCAACTGAGCAATGTCAACAGATCTGTAGCTTCTGTTGTCGTGATTTAGAGAAGCAGTCCCCCAAGCGCAGACGATGTACACTGCCGAAATATTACACCAGAGATGTGAACGCCTGTTCACCTCTGAAAAGCAGCCGGCCACAGTGCGGCCCCTCGCGCACTCACCGCATCAGCCGTCGCGGACAGTCGCGGAACTTGTGCAGCGTCAGGTCCGAGATACCCTCCAGCACAGGCTGAAGCAGCCTGGATGGCAAGCTCTCCGTGATGACGCAGAGGATATTCTGCAGAAGACCCGCCAGCCTGTAAGGAGGACACTTTCAGTCGTTGGAAGCTGAGATTATGCGCTTCTTTTCGTAATTTGCAGGGATGATGTGCCCAACATGCGGGAAGTGGTTCTAGCAGTAAATAAGGAATCTGAAACGAATATTAGATCACACTTATGGGATATGCAGCATCATGATGCACGTAGATGAAAGTAACAACAACTTTAAGCCCATTGGCATGAGGTTATTCTTATATTCCTCTGCAAACAAGGAACTGGGTCGACTTCCACCACGCAAAATGTTGGCCGCGCGCCTATCGCAAGGAAATTGGCTGAGTAATGCTCGGGTGTAAACACGCGCTCAGTTAGGATGTGAGTAGGAGTGGAGGTGGGGGGGGGGGGGGGGTGTCCGGTAATTTGACCGCCTCCGAAATTTTCCAGATTTTTTTTCCGAATAACGCGGCGTAGCCGCGCCAACCTCTACAAAGCTGTAGGATCCAAAGCTGATGTAATTATGGATTGAATAGCGGGTCTTTTGATATGGACAATGAGATGCATCTTGTCAGGTCGCTGACGTTTGGCAGGTCAGTCAGGCCATGGTTGTCAGGCCGCTGACGTTTGGCAAGTCAGTCAGGCCATGGTTGTCAGCTAAGGCAATTTCTAGGGAATCGTTCAATCTGATGCCATAACGGAGTGTCAGACGAAGCCGTACGTCTCTGAGATTGTTTGGTAGGCAATAAAACAATTGAATTTAGAACTGCAACACATGACATTGACCTAAGGTTAGGTATGAGGGTCAAATCGTGATCTAAGCCAATCTGGTTTTTACTCGAGAGCTTGCAGTATGGAATAGTTTCTGGTGTTTATTTCGAATTTATTAGTAACGGGGACCGCAACAGACATGGTTCGTTGACTGTTTAAGACGAGGGTAGGTTAATGACCTAAAACAGCCCAGATCACCATATCGTTTTTAAGAACATACTGCCCGGCGTAATGCTTGACGCCTATTCAAATGCCAAAATAAAAGCAATTGGTAGGATTTTGGTTACCCTAACCCTCTAAATAACTATAAATGGTGGTAATGACCAAACTTCACTAGCCTTACATAAAAACAGTGAGGATTTGCTTAGAACAGGTGTTTAGGCTTCCGGTAGTTGCATGAGAAGATCTGGGGGCACCTCGGACACCAATCTGGAGTTCAACATTTTTTGACCTAATTCGACCCGAAGATCATGACCTAAGAGCTTCAAATTTTGAGTACAGTGAGTTCACATACAGGCAGATACACTCTGTGAATTCGGTGTTTCTAGCTATTTTGATTTTGAGCAGAGCGCAGGGTATTCAACCAGCCGCCCGGGCGCGTGTTAACCGAAGGTCGCATGGGGTCGCCTGGAAGCGCCGAGCACGCACCCTGTTTAAGGGTCCCCCTGCGGGCTAAGTTTCGGCGGAGGATGCCGAGTGCATGTAGTTTTTCCCCGCCCTTATCCACTTTCCTTCATTTTATAACCATGAAATGACCATTATTGGTCGAAAGGGCTCTAATCTAAGCCCAGGAAATAAGCACGGCAAATCGCGCCCCGCTAAGCTGTGGTAGTTTTCACTTAGTTCACGCGCCGGCTTGGCTGTTTGAAAGGTAGGGTCAGTCGGACTACGCGAGCACGCCCGGTCAACATTGGAGGTCATGTGATGTCAACATGGGTTCAGGTGTCTTACCGAAAGGATCGATGATGCTACCTGTTTGTGACGTGCAAGTCCGTATAATAAAGACGTTGTCAACCCAGTGACTCCACCGGTCATGTGACGTAAATGAATGCAAAACAGCCTCAGACGAAGAAACGCGACTGTGGTCTGACTTTACCTTGACCTGTAACCTTGATTGACTTCATGACATGAGATTGGACGCATTCCGCAACGGACATATAATTCTTGGCTTATTACCGAAAACTCAGTCAAAGGAGGCGATAGATCCCAAGCGTGGCGTAGAGCAATATCGCGTGTTCTCGATGTGCTATGTTGCTTCCAACTCAAAATTGTCATGATTCACTAACGCACTTAATCATACATCGAATACATTTGATGGGGCTGGGGGGCATAGGGCACTGTTTTAGGCTCTCATTTTCTTCACAAAGTACCGAAGACCACCTGCGTTTCGGCGCTAATAATTACCAAGATCACAGATTTCACGAGCAGTTGTGTGGCTTCACTAGTTATGTGTCTCATTGAAAACAGATGAACAAGACTGCATTCTGTTTCAGGAGGGAAACCCGTGTAACCCCGTTAAGAAAACGGGAAGGTGGGCAGGAAAAATCCCTCCCCGTGCCTCCCATGTACATGTGAACATATTTTCCCAGCTTTTGCGCTGAAACTATAGGCTTCTCGGCTCCAAGTTGCGCTGGACGCCTGGAGCTGGGGCTGCAAGTGAAGCCAAACACGGTCAGAGCGCGTCTCGATCCTGTTAGTGTGAGACGATACGCTGTCTCCCATGTCACCGTGGAAAGATCGTGTAAAAAGTCTGCCTACACAAGCTTGCCATTTTTTAAGGCTTTCTAGACGCCAAGCGCGGTTGCATTAACATGTCGCGAAAAAGAAATGAAGTGATGTACTTCCATACCTGATCTTTTTACAGCGTATTCATAAAAACAAGATGTTGGAGTGTAAGCTGAGCAGGAAGGCCTCGGATAGGCGGCGTTCTCCCACACATCTTCACAGGTGTATCTGATGGCAATTATCGCAACTGAACCAGAAATAGTAACAAACTCATTCACCGGGTGACGGCTGTCTACAGCTAGTTCAGAAACTTCCGCTCGCCGGAGGCTAGAAGGTGAGAAGAAAGTAAATTGCAACTCAGCTTTCTGGATGGTAGTGAGCTTAAATAGAGCGATCCCCTACCTACACCTTTGAAAGGATCAGGCCTGGGAGGTCTGTTTAAAAGTCCACTGGTACCGATTTTAGGGTTTTAAGCAAAGCCTGTGCGGAAACGTACGGGTATGCAACATACACGCCGTACCTTCAATGCGGTGTTAAACTCATTTGATTCAATGCGCCAGCACGAGTAAAAACATGGAAGTTTCGGTTAAAACGAGGCTTCATCTTTTACATCTGTCGTCTTCACAGATCTAATAATTTACTTAAACGTCCTCATATTTCCTACAGACAGTTCGGCGTGATCTGGAACGCTCAGAGTCAGGCACATGCTTGATCGAATAAATGAATCCTGACCTCGAATCCTTCACTTCTAAATCCCAAACCATCCATGATTCAGCGTTCATTTTTGAATTCGTTTTGCAGTATCCTCGTATTTAAGATGCCATAAAATTGCTCCACTAGGTTGAGACTGAATGCTGCATCTTTTTAAGGACTCTGTCGACCGATATGTCTGTTAACCCAACATCTGGTAACCCAATATTCGTTTCCTACTTTGTTAATCGGTTTTTGGATAGTATATTCATACCACGGCAAACAACTTTCACGATGAGTTTCAAATCAGGCCATGGACTTGAATTCTCTTATGGGAATGATTTGTCTCATCTTCCAAACTTAACCTTCCACGCTGTACGAAGCTGCTAAAATGGCTATATCTCTCAGTGGCGTAGCCAGGATTTGGCAGAGTAGAAGGCTAAATCGCAGCAAGTGGATTATTTAAACCGAGTGCCCTCACCTCGTCGCTATAGTTGGCCATTTTTCGATTTACGATATCTTTTTGGGCTCGGGAACCGAGCTCCATGTCCGAGGGGTCCGTTTTTTAAGTACAAGAGGCCTGCAGTATGCAGTATGCGTTGCTATTGGACGGGTCCAAATGACGCCAGTGATTGTTTCGATAATGTCAGAAAGATAATATATCAAATATTGCCGGGTCATGTTTCTGTCGGCCATTTCAACAACTGGAAAGATGAGCACGTTCCAAAATTCAAGATTCTCAGCAGAAAAATTAAGCCGAATGCACTTCTTAAGATTTTATTTCGTAGAGATTTAACATTACATCTGGTGAAATTCATTACATCTGGTGGTTATTCCAGCTCGATCATAGTTTTTAAAGTGTCTCTGAACTTAGTAAAATAATTATTAAAGCATATATCTGCAAGATAAGCATGACTTGGCACAGGCTTCACTCACATGCGGCGTTTTTGTTTTGCTTCGTTCTCAAAAGACACCAAGAACACCAAGACTGAGAGAGGGTATAGCTGACTGATGTGGTAAAAAGTCTCTCACTTCCAATTATTTTCTGGGTAAATGTGATTTTAGTTTTCGAATTAAATTTTAGCGTCATTAGCTATATGTGCAGTCAGTTAATGACATTTCCGTGGCGCTTACGCGCACATCGTGATTCAACGTTTCATTCATATGCATTCTAAAAGATAACTCTGCATGGTTTTCACACAAATCAAGCTGCAACTGGCGGCACATTATTACCAGTACGTTAGCCAATGGCCCATTGGTTGCATTCTACCGCTGAACAGTTGTATAAAAGCGACGATGACATTCTTAGCTCATTGGGCTCAATTTCAAGTTTGCACTTACCGTTTCCTTCTTTGAGCTTTTATTCCGAATCCTCCTCTGTTATCATTCTCAGTTCCTTCAACTCTAAAGAACGCATTTGCCATCTGGGACAATGACAGGTGATATGGCTTTCGTGGTCACTATTTTCTTTAGCGCCATGCATGATTATACGAAAAGTTCACCAGTCCTGCGAGATTTTCAAATTACGGTATAAAAAGCTGCGAACCTCTGGGAAGTTTTCAGAACAAGAGTCACACGAGGTGGTGGATCTGCCGTTTTCTTGGGGCAAAGAAAGCTGGAAAATTATAAGGCGCCGATACGCAACCCGCAAAAGGGAGAAAATGTCTCCAAATGAAACAACATTTGCGACACACACACTTGTGCCAAACCAGCGGCAGATAGCCGTTCAGGACGAAGAAAAGGTAGGCTCGTCGTGTTTGAATCTTTGAGTAGCATCATTCTACTGCGAGCTCTCGCTTGCCTGCATGGTTGGTCAGCGCATGCATGCAGTTACAGGTTATGATGAGTCCTGGATCCTATTTTTACGGGGTCCGGAATTTAGTGGCCGATGTTACCAAAAAAGCTGAAGGGGTCAGGGCTAAATTTCCAAATTTTGTCATTCATTTTTCCTGCATTTCGTTTCATTTCTGAATATTTATAGAAAAAATCTGATGGTGACCATTTGGGATCCAGGCAATGACGCAGTTTTATCTTCAGTTCATGGGGCGCCTCAGCCCCTTCACAGCGATTCAAGACTTACTCAGCTTTGAGAAGGGCGTGGGACAAAACATAGGAGAAACGTGTTTATTACCGCGCTTTGGCGGCAGGTTCCGTTCACTTTCACTTAGCAACCCACCAAACTCACTCTGCGGAACTACGCCCATGTATCCAGGACCCATCGCACAATTTTATCCGACGATCCTTTGGAATCTGAGGTCCGTTCTTGGGCACCCTGCACTTATCTGTTCCGGGCATCGCTATGCTTTTCCTGAGGCTGCCGGCGCTGTCGACCAACACCCGCCACTCACGAGAACACGTCCTCGACGAGGCGCAGGCTTTCGTTGCCGCACGTGTGGTGCGACTCGAGGATCTCCTGGCGCATCAAATGCAGGTGTGCCGTCTCCGACAGGAACACCCGGAACATCTCGAGCAGCGCCTGCCGACGCTGGGAGTGGCCGGGCCACATCGGGTCAGGTCAGGTCGCACTGCCGGGGCGGGCGGGTCACGTCGGGTCAAGTCATGTCACAGCGCCGAACCGGACGGACCGTGCCGGGCGGCAGCCGGTCCAGCCAGTCGATCCCGCTGCCGTAAAACATCGGCGGCAGCCGGTCCAGCCAGTCGATCCCGCTGCCGTAAAACATCAGCGTTTCAAAGTCTGCTTAGCCTTGTTCTTTTCGTGCCCAATTCTTTTCGAATCCTTGGGGAAAACTTAACTGGAAACTAACTTATCGAGCTTGTCACCCAAAACCGATGAAGTATCATTACTTTTAGAGAACTCACGAAAAATAAAGGTCATGCGTTGGCTCGAAAATCTGAACGAAAATGCGTGGCAGCAAATCGGGCAACAACCATATTGCAGGTGCACCAATTCCAAACCACGGTAGTGATGACGTCATCATCGCGATTACACCTTGCTACGGCTCGGCTGACGGTCCGCCAGAGAGCGGGAATGTGATGATGGAGACCCCGGACGTGGCGGACCGTCCCGGCCCAGCGCTGTTGGCGCCAGTTGTGCCGACCAAGCGTCAGCAGCCGGCACGGAGGAGAACGTCGGCAAAGGTCCTGATCCCAACAACCAAACCCGGCCACCCGCCCGATGTGTTGCTAGTCGGTGGACATCTACGTTATTGCCGGCCTTTGTAGGTACTGCCAGCTGTTGTGCAAGGCTTTTAGACATGTCTGAGAGATGCGACATGAGCATGCATGTAGTGAAACATATGAAAAATAAAACAGACCGTCGCACTCGGGTCATTACACCGTTCATTAAGAAATAAGCCAATGTGTAAGTTTGTAAATTTCCACGACTTCACTGGACAATTGTCTAAAACAGCTATCCGAAGTCTACACTAAGTAGCTTCAAAGACGTTTGCTGTCCTGAGCACCTGAAAAGTTCGCTCAAATTCAAAGCTGCGTTAAAGCTCACATGATGTCCTGGTGACTTACTGGTAGGCCGGATATATCCGATATCTGGGGCTGGCTATCGAGGTGGAGACCGTTGCATTCGGGTACACCCTGTCAATCAGCATACATGTTTGTGAGCTGTTCGCAGCAATGTTTATGTGCGAGGGTGTGCGACTATCGCTCTTCCATTTGTCTTGAGACACTACAGAGAAATAGAAGAGCAATGAATATAGAAATAGAAAGACTCATATACAGAAATATAACAGACGCAAGAGTGTTTTTCTAAGGGCACAGAAAAGACGAGAAGATTTTGAATTTGGCTGCATGATTTGACCTGGAGCCAAACCCACTACGTTGTACTCTACGTTCCCACTGCCGTTTCCCCACAACCTCTCCCAGAACACCTCACCCATTTGTTTCACCCTGGTGCCTAGAACTTCCTATAACTCAGGTGGAAAATGCCGTTTAGTGAATGTCGTAGCTGCCGCGCCATTCTTTGCTGAGACTTTGGACATTCAAATTGGAATTTCGGTCAGACCGGTTGAACATTTTGCCATCGTTAAGTGCTCGCCTCGGCAGCTTCGTCACACCAACTTCATCAGCATTGCACACCGGTGCCTCGGCGTTGGGATCTCCACAGCACGCCGCTGGCCGTACCCTAACGTCCTCCACCTCCCTTCCCGCTCGCTACCCCCGGCGTCGCTGCCCGCTGCCGCTGCCACCGCCGACCGCCCGCTCACCGAGGCTGCACGCACAGAGCTGACCAGCGAGCTGGCCAGCCGCAGCACCACGTCCAGCTCAGCGGTGCTGCGCGCCCCGTCGCGGCCCGAGGCCGGCAGCGGGCCGCCCGTGCGCACGATCTGGCACGGGTTGGTCAGCCGGTCCAGGAAGTCCAGGTCGCGCAACAGCACCGTCTCCGTGTCGGAGCTGGCGCCGGTGCGCCCGGCTGCCAGCAGCCCTGGTGGGCCGACAAACGAGGTCACGGACTTACACGGGTCACACGAGATCGCACAGGGCATCACGGGATCACAGGATCGCTCGAGGCGTCACGGAGCCATACGCGGTCACGCGCGTCCTAACGGGGTTGTGTGAAGTTACGGCGGCGTAACACGGGGTCTCCTGGGCGTAACGGGCTGTACAAGCTCGCGGGAATCCCCGGGGATATACAGGGTCACATGGAATTTCACACAGGGTCAGGCCGGGTTGCGGTCACGCAGGTAATAAAGCCATGTCGAGATACTTAAAATGCTTTTGTGTTCTTTCTCTTGTACAATGATTTTGGAAGCGTTTTTCTGCCTCTAGATTTTACAACAGCCTCTTACATGGGGCCAATATCCTGTCCGTATATCTCCTGTGATCTCCAATGTTTGTTTTTTTCATTTTGTTATGCGGGGCGATAGGTGGTAACTCGCGCTTGGTTGAGGTGGTCAAATAGCCCGCTCTGATAATTTTCCCAAATAACTTCCAAACGGTGGAGGGTATTGGCGCAATATTTCCTGCAGTTGTAGGTAATGTAATAGCTAATCATTTGGTATGAAATATAAGATGCACCTTGTAAGATCACTGACCTTTGGCAGGTCAAAGTAATGTCATGGTTATCGGATCAAAAGCTGTAGGCCTCTGCAAGATCAAAAGCTGGAAGCATGCGGAATATCAAAGTTTTGAAGACAGCTTTCCGCCTTACAACACCCTAGACGTCATGCAAATTCGGCAAAAGCTGGCGAAGCCCATCGTCCTGCCCCCCTTGGGGCGGAACATATTACTCCAGACCATCGAGGTCGCTAAATGAAATACAGAAGGCTCAGTGATCTACATAAACGTCATCAACTCGAAACTGTTCCTGGGCACCTCACATAAGGAGGACGTCTTATTTCTGGTGGTGGTTATTTCAAATAGTGTGCTGAGGCCCACACATTTTGCCGTCCGCTGTTCACCAACGGTGCAACATGCCCAACCCTGCTTCCATGGACGGAGCCTTATTTTGGGGGTGGATGACATGCGGTTACATCACTCAATACTTCAGAAATGTACTTCCGGGTCTACGACGGTTCCATGAAAAGGGTGGACCCACAGAACCCATATGTCCCCAAGTTCGTTAATCAAAATTTCCTAATGCCAGTATCATTAAATAGATACCAAAATATTGCATTTTGCTAGGGTTGCCACTTTGTTCACTTCCTGAACCGTGCAAACTTTGTGACGTACCAAAGGACCAAGGCGCCCAGGCCCTCTTGGGCGTCGGGCCCTCCACTCCCTTAGCTACGTCCTTGGCTAGAATATACCTGTCTGGCTACAACATGGCTAGAAAGGTAAGCACCTAAAACAGCAGCAAACTTGAAAATACCGGGAAAATCATGTCACCAGACCTTGAAACATACCATCGAAAACCGCACCAGGCAGGGAAATCGGCTAAAAGTACACAGTTTCATCCCCAAGGTTAGTAACACCTGCTGTGCAAGTCCAGTGACGCTTTGAGGCATTTGTTAAGAACGGGGTCAAGCCTTTTATGGGAGCCATTGCTGAACAAGTGCGATAGAACATACTGAACAAGCTGACTCAATGACCAATGCACTCAAGTTATGTAATGCGAAACGAATGTGTTTGCTGACCATAACGACCCCAACTGGAAATCAGACTGACCCATGCCAGGATATCACTAATGCAGCTCAGTAGGATGTTTGGACGGCACAAGGGGCGGGAAAGGGCTGACACTCTCCTCCAGCTGAAAAGGGAGCTACTCCCCTTGACCACGCAGCGGTAAAAATAGTGCGGTGGGCATCAACTCTTAACGACCACACCCAAGGGTTTACAGCAGCACATGATGCTAGAAAGGAATGCCCCAAAATTATGCACCAAAAACAAAAGAGCGATTGTTCTCTTTGCTGGAGGAGTCCTGCCGCAAACGACCCGCATATGATGTTTGTCTGCTATCACTCAATATTTGGCTGAAATGAACGATATTTTGTCAAATGCAATCCCACGAGAAAAGCTGCTTTGAGAAAGCCTGGTCTCCATCCTCACGCCACAACATGACGGACATGATGACACTCGCGTTTTAATTGCCGGTATTATTGTCAACAACTCCTGAACGTGAGAGTCGGTGACGCTGTTGTGTAAAATATTACATCGTACAAAACGGAGAAAACCGAGAAGACCCAGCCACGTGGCAAAAGGTAAACTTTTGGGGTAATGCTCCCCCCCCCCCCTCCCCTGCCTTTGAGGTAAAGGGAGGAAGGGTCATGGCTTACGGGGCGCGCAAGGGCCGCGATACTTATTGATAGTTTTAGATACCCGGAAGGTTTTAAAAACAAATATTGGCTCCCGAGGCACGTAAACAGGACTAGAAGTCTAAAATTGTTCCCAAAATCCAAACAAATTCCTTAAACGAAGGGGAGGGGCCCCTTGACTGGAAAATACCCCTTGACATAATTTAGCAATCTCCTAGGCGAAATCTCTTCTGCTCGCGGCGTTACAAAGACTCTGTCATCACGCTAGCTTTATATTGAGTTTTTTCTGTTGACATAGGGTCAAATTTGTAGAACAAAACGTGTCAGAAAGGGTAAAATGCTTCCAACTTTTAAAACAACGTCAGCAGACATTTTAAGAGTATAAGAAGCAGCACTGTCCAAAAGTTGTGCACTACACCTAATTCCGTCCCAAACGCCATTTTCTCTTAAACCAGCTCGAACGCTAAGTTGGCAATGCAGTCCTAGGCAGAGCAACCTAACTAACCAAGCACAAACATTCCTGAAAGCCTCGCCGTGCCTAGCTAACGGCGTCAGACGCGGGTCTGGCTTGCGAGCGGCCGCACAAGCAGCGGCAGCGTCCGTACCTATGAGCAGGGTGAAGAGCGGCGGGCCGGCCGGCCGCTGCTCGGCTGCGCTCCATCTGCTCATCTCAGAGCTGTGTTGGCGACGCTGACCACTGGTGCAGTGTCGGCAGTGCGGCGGCGTCTTATACGTGTCCAGCGCCGCCTCCATCGGCACCGCAGACGGCCTGCGCGCGACACGCCGCCGCCCCCTCCTCACCTGGGGCAGTCGGCTCCCGTGTTCTCTCCTGGAACCGTGAGCCTCCGCCTCCCCGCCGGGCATACTCTGTGTACTCTTGCCTCATTCTCTGTTCAGCAGGCTTGCATGTCCTCAATGAGAACCCCAGGAGAATTGTGGCGCCAGAAGAGACAAAAAGGTACCATGCATCTAACGAGGAACGGCAGGGCACTACAAAACACGCGCGCGTGATTATACCAGACGCGTGAAGGCAGTGACGGAAAGTAGGGATTGCATAGCACGCATGAGGGCATACTTGCGTTAAATCGCAAATATCCCTTTTGTTTTAGAGCAGCATACAGCTCAAAGGCACCAGTCAAAATTGCATTGCATAAAGTATTATCTAATATCATTGCCACCACACCCATTTCCTTCTGCATGCGTGCACATAATTGTGATAGCAACGATTACAGGCACACATAAAAGGCACACATAAAGGTGTAACGTCTCCCGAATCCCCGTGCTCTTGAAGCAGTTGGTTGCGTTTTTTATGGTGACAGCGTGCGAATGTGCAGAGCGTTGTACTGCCTTATACGGTATCTTCCCTTTGGACAAGAATTTCCTAGTTGTGCGTCAATAATTTGGCAGAATCATTTTGGCTTCAACATCAGTCCAGTGACGAGGGAGAGAAATATCACGTGGTGGTGATTCATTATGACAGCGTATTAGTACATGGCGGAAGGACGGAGCACAAAATACTTGGTGCTGACATTCCAACTACACAACTGACAACTACATTTTTAATCAAAATCCCAAGCTCCTTTTTCGTGAAACGGAATGAGTAAGCAGAACTGGCATTCATGCCTACCCATAAAAGTTGTTAAGTGCATTTGCGAGGAACATCATGCGTACAGATAACACAGCAGTAATAGCCTTATTCCTCGTAAAAAACAACAGAAGAACGGAGAGAAAGACGCGTTGTTATTTCTGCAATATGTCTTTATCGAAACGAAAATAAGTAGTAAATTCAGAATTGCCCGCCGATCCTACTCGATTTCCGTTTTTTTTTAAACATCGAGCCATAGTAATCACAGGTTACCAGCATTCAAGGGATTAAACAAGGAGCAGTTGCTAGCCACTACTACGGTACAGTGCACGTCTAACTAGCAATCATAATACGCGAAAAATACGTGTGCATGCAAACGAATTCGGGTAAACAGGTACCACGTATCACGCTTCGTTCAAACATGCAAGCGATTTCAAGTAAACAGGTATCACGCATCATGCATCAGTTATACGTGCAAGCGATTTCAATTAAACAGGTGTCGCGCATCACATATCAAGCATCACACATGTAAACGATTTTAACCTAGCACGCATCACACATCAAGGCACTTATCACATTCGCATAATCGGCCATGATGAGCCCTGTACGTTAAGGTGTGGTCGCCGAGTTCTTATAAGAAGATATTCCCTTATTTTTCCGTCTGGATGGTCTTGTGCTCTGTAAATTACCGTTAGCTCTAAAAGGGGCACAGGGTCCATATCTCCCTGAATTTCAGGCTGAGCATATTTACCAGAAACTGGCGACTGAGAGAGATATTCCCTGTTTTGTTTTTAGCGTCTCACAGGCGTTTGTTATATTTCAAACGAATAGGGCACATGTACTCCCTGTCCCTCCCATGTTTTTCACACAGTTTACACTTCATTTCGTAAACCAGGTTTTTTTTGCGTGCAAAGCCCTTGAAACCCAGACTTGCATAGAGAACACCCATTGCCGCCCGAGCACTTGGGTTTCGAAATGGAAGATTTCACTACATACTTATCAAGCTTATTTTCGTTCTTCCAAACCATACGTATGCTCAGTTTGGATTTTTGAACGATATGTTTGATTTTCCGAAGCAAGTGCTCATCTATGTAAGGCAGCGCTAATATTAGGCCGTCGGACAGCACGTGTTCCTGCCTCCTGCCACCCATCCCTCTCAAGCGCTCTAAATCTTTTACCACTTTCAACATTCTACCTAAATGGGCCGCTAGCCCATCAAAACCAGCTTCCTCAGCTAGATACATCGATGATTTTGCTCGAGTATAGACGCACGAACAGCGGAACCTTGAATAATTTTTAGAGTTCGTGAACAACCAGTATCCAAATTTAGCTTTTACTATGGGGCAAACAGGGAACGGAAATGGGCACCATGTTTGGATACATAAGTAACGGTAGAAAAGAGGAACGACCTCACAACGTTAGAAACGGAGCTCTTCATCAGGCCCCACCAACTCTGGTACATTTATGCACTGCGAACGTGCGCATCCAATTTCCCCTAAACATAATATAATTCGTAACATGTTTATTGGGGCTCTAAACAACTCATCTAGTAGTGAACAGGAAAGAAAGAGCATGATATGGACTTTGCTGTTGGGCAATGGATATTTCCGCGAATTTAAGGTAGAATGTTGGAAGAGGTAAAAGAATCTAGAGCGCATGGGGATTAGGTGGTAGAAGTCGGGAACACGTCCTGTCGTATGATGAGCTCTTAACACCACCTTACATAGTTGAGCACTTACTTCGGAAATCCGACATATTGTTAGAAAATCAAAACTGCGCATACGGACAGCTTGGAAAAACGACACTCAGCTAAGAAAGTCTCTGGTGAAATCTTCCATCTGTAAGCCGAGTGTTTGGGGGGGGGAGGGTGCAATAGCTGTCATCAATGCAAGTCTGGGTTTCAAAGATTTTGCCCCCCTTTTAGACCTGAAGTCATCTACAGAGCGCAGGACCATCCAAACGGGAAAATACAGAAATATCTTCTTGTAAAAAGTCGGGGGCACACCTTAACGGACAGGGCTCATCATGGCCGATTATGCGAATGCGATAAGTGCCTTGATGTGTGATGCGTGCTAGGTTAAGATCGTTTACATGTGTGATGCCTGATATGTGATGCGCGACACCTGTTTAAGTCACTGGCATGCATAATGGATGCGCAATGTGTGATACCTGTTTACTTGAGCTCTCCTGTATGTTTGAATGAAGCGTGATGCGTGATGCCTGTTTACTTGAGCTCGCCTACATGTTTGAATGAAGCGTGACGCGTGATGGCTGTTTACTCGAATTCGTTTGCATGTACACGCATCTTTATGCATTTTCTAATTCTTAGATGTGCACTGCATCGCAGTGATGGCTAACGATTGCTCCTTGTTAACCTCCTGAATGTTGATAAGCTGTAAAATGTGTGGCTCGCTGTTTTAAAAAAAAAACAATAACTGACAAATCTAGTAGGATCTGCAGACAATTCTGAATTCACTAATGATGTTTGGCTCGAACATCAGTTCATATTTAAGCATGTTTCCAAAATTCATCTCTCCGTTTTCCTGCTTTTTCTACGATGAATAATGATATTATTGCTGTCTTATCTATTCATAAAGCATGATCTGGTTTGTAGCCGGCTTACCGCAGTTTTATCAAACCATGCGTGCAGCTCTTTTCCGTTCATACTGGTGCAGATGGATGATGCATTAGACGAATCGTCATGCGCAATGAACACAACTCAAAAGTAAACTAACCTAGACAGCTAGGGAAGTAAAGAATGAATAAATAAAACAACACACACAAATCAACTAAACTCGAAAAGATATTCGAGAAGTCGGGAAGGGGCCGGGTAGTTAATATTCCCCGGCCCGCCACTCCGAGAAGTTGAGCACGAAGGTCCTGCCTCCTTGTCCTACGCTCAATCCCACGTACTTACACATATGGATCGTGAACCGCAAGTGTTTCTGATGAGCGTTTGCCTCTTACTGCAGTGGTGAAGGATCGTGTGGTATGAAGCAAAAATACTTAAGAAGCGATCTATACTGTTTTGCATATCACCCGTATTGTTAATGCACGATTCATAACGCAATGCTTTCAAACGAGTTCGTGTCTCTGTGCATCACTGGTACTTTTTCGTGTAAAGTGATATGTTTTCACACCCATCGAACGGCAAGTAAATCAGAGCTTGTCTCACCCGTGGAAGGTAGAGATAGCCAGCAGGCCAAGCAGAAAAATCATCGCGTGCAGATAATCGGTACGCTCACTTAATTGTTTGTTTTTTTTTTGTTTTTGTTTTTGCTGAGGCGAACCCTCGCATACGTACAGCGGACATCCTTCACACGGCCATGGCGTAGCAACGCACATGGTACACATCTGGGTATTCTGCGTATTCATCTGAGCAGTCCGCGACCGCTCCCGAAAGACTAGTATATTAATGAACTTGCGAGAGCACAGGCCAACGTGTTGACCACCTACCATGATAGCGGCACACGCCGCCATTGCCTTTCTCCTGGGAGCGTGGTAGATCTAATTTGGTTCACGACTACTATCAACCTTAGTTGACGTGACCTTCATCAGCACACAGGAGTACTATCATCAAAGGGGAAAACATTTCCTGGGAAGATGAACAAGCGCGGCCTACCGTTCCTGCGCCACCTGTGTGGCGGCGCGCACAAAATTATTTATTGCACTTGTCTAATTATTTAATATTATAGCGATAAATATAATATAATAATAGCACACATTAATGTCTTAACCAAACAAGTGGGCGTAGGCATCGGCGTCCACGTGTTTTTTTTCTGCATCTGGATATCACTACAGTGTAATCGAAAAGTCAGTGAGGACCCTACGCACGTTAACCACTCAAAATCCGTGATATGCTTCTGAGCCAAAGATATGATCCAAGGCATCATGTCCATGCCGTGCGCAATCCAGGTTAACTGTAGCAGCGTTGCTGGTGGGGCTGGCTCTTCAGTGACCATGCGATTACACTTGCATGCACATACTCGGTGCTCAGTGAGCTCACCTCGCAGGGACGTGACCAGAGTCTCGATAAGGCTGGGGAGGGGTAAAGGGTTAACAAAAAATCACCTCCCAGTAAAAAGATCGCCATTCCCCACGAACTTAACTTCGATGAACGCGATTTATTCATTTTATTTAAAGATTTGCCTTCCTTTATCACAACAGG